AAAAAAATAAATAAATCTTCTTACAAATTTCAGCTATCATAAACATACATCATATTTTAGGAACAACATTTCTGCTAAAAAACAGCTGAAAAACTTCAAAGTTAATTTTCTAAACACACTCTAAAATGTATTCCTTCCGATTTTAGAACCACAAAAAAAAAAAAAAAAAAAAAAAATACATGCATTTCAAATTTTGCACGTGTTAAACAATATTGGGGAGAAACTACAAAGGTTCACGTATCTTGTCAGGGCAGCAGTTGCTGAAAGTAAATCCTCCGTCACTGTCACCGTCACCGTCATCCCTTACGACACTAGGTTTTTGTTCCGTACGAGGTTGCTGTGTAATTCTCAAAGGATGTTGGGGGTATCAAGGTCAAGTAATCAAGCCTCAATTTCTCATTTATATTTTTTCATGGATTACTATGTTGCCTTTTTAGATGAAGATATTTTATTATATTCAATTTTTAAAATTAATAAAAATGATTTAAAGTGTGATTTTTTTTTTCATTATCTTTTCTTTTTCAATGTGTTATTGCTAAATAAAGAATCTAAATAATTAACTTACTAATTTTTCTCCCTGAATATTAGTCAAATATTTTAAATTATTTTGTAAAAATTAAAATAAATTATAAAAAAAAACACAATAAAATTTTATTTGTTAAAGTAGAAAAAGATTTTATGAATTTTCTATTCAATTTGTCTCTTAAAATGTACATAAAAATATGAAAAATCTCAATTTATCATGACTCATAATATATAAAAAAATATCCTTAATAAATTTAAATATTTTATATAATTTATATATATATATATAATATTAAGAATTTTAAGAATTTTAAGAAAAATATATATTTAAATAAAAAATAAATGTAATCAAGTTATTCTAAAACATTAAATGTTCACATATTTTTAAAAAACAAAATCAAAAACAGATTCTAAATCTTTTAAATTTTTAAGGGTACCATAAAAATTTTCATATTTTATTATAACGTGTTTAAAAATAATTTAGATGCACGTTTTAATTAAAATAAACACACTTGAAAACAAGTCATCGTTCTAATTTTTCGTTCTCACGAAGGAAAGTTAGAATAAATATTCCCGTGAATATTTATAGAAGGGTCCCGTTTGTTAAACACTTCATTCATGGTTGGAAACACTCGTAAGGCACACAGAGACAAGAAGTGACTAATTAGATTATTTAATTAATTGAAAAAGTGAAAAATGAAATTATTTTGATATTTGCTAATGAGTGTCCCTTATGTGTTTGTCTTTTTGTGGTGGTTTAAAATACACACTCTTTTATAGACAATTCTTTGTACACTAAGTTTCTGTATGTTTAAACAATAAAAAAAAATTATAGATAAACTTTTTTAAGCTCTACCCAATAATAAATAATTATATTTGAATAAGATTTTATAAATATTATTTTATCTTACAAATAAGACATGATATAATCAATTAATAATTTTTTAAAATAATTATTTTCAATGTTATTTGAATTAGATCGATAATCAACTACATCAAAACATTGGGTAAAATATGTTATCAAATTTCAAGTCAATTGATGTGCTCAACGGTAAATTAAATATTATATTTAGTATGACTTGTAACTTGTAAGTGCTATTTTTTTAAAATCAATAATATAGTGAATTGTAATTAAATAACAATATGTAAAAATATTTTACATTTTAAAAAATATGGTGTTATTAAAATAATTATGTAAAAT